CTTTCTGGTGCCTTGGAACTCTTCACTAATACCACACCTAGTGAATAACATCCTTGTCCCACTTCTCTGCTCACATGGGGGAAGATCCAACAACATGCACCCAAGGGGCTGCTCCAATCAGCTTGGGTCCTACAAAATGTTCCTATAAATAGACAGCATGGTCCGCACAGGGTCCAGTTCTACTAATGCAGTCCTGTAGAAAACCAGTGTGACTCCATCTTGTATCACCATCATCATATGTCAGTGGCTAGAAATTGCCCTGCCCCCTGAGAGGATAGCCAATTTCCCCGTTGTTATTGCTCAACTCTGTTAGCCCGTACTCCTGGCCCCAAACAGCATGCTCTTATCTTAGAATGAACATATGTGTCACATGATCCCTGGACATCTGGTGTGACATCATTAAGACTCCTCACTGCTTTCCTAACTGATGCGTGTTGCCACAACCTTCATGAACCTCAGTAGCCCCGTGGATGAACAGCCAGGTCGTCTGGACCTGTCCATGGCCCTGACATGGAAGTTTACATCACTCTTGATGCCTCTGCAGGTGCCTGTTGTGGCCACCACTTTTGTCCCCTTGCCTGAAGCCTCCTGATCAGGCCGGACTCTGATTGACTAAGAGATATGCTAGGCAGGTGACCATGGTCTCCTGCCTGCAAGTTACTGTCTGGTAGCATGCTGGGCCTTCCTGAAAACCAGGAGTGCTACAGAGGTAGGTAAGGGAACATTCATTCCACTTAAGGAACAGCCATTTCCTTGAGTTCATGTAGGTCATGTAATGGATTAGAACCTGTTTCCTGGAACACTAGAAGTGGGAATAATCCCCCAAATTGGTAAAGATCTGGAGCAGCCATATTTGAGACAAGTTAGACTGGGTTGCCATTTTTTTCCTCAGCAAAGGGTGGAGGGAGAGACAGTGGCGGTAGGGTAGTTTGCAGTTTCTGGTGCAATACTGCCATCAAGCGGACTGCATTTCTAGGTCTCCTGAGCCCTATGTTGTTTCTGGTGGGGAAGCAATATGGCGGTGAAAGCTGAATCGGGAGCAGGAGAAAAACGTCTTCCTTCTGCCACCCTCCTCAGTGCACATCTCAAGTTCCACCAGGCATAAGGAAAGCATAACCAAGACTGGGTCAGGCCCTGCAAATTCCAGAGACAGAACCTAGCTAAGGCCTACACTCTGGCACAGGAAGCCAAGGCTTAGAATGCTGGTGGCCGCCATTTCTGGGCTTGACTAGGGGCAGCCTATGAGAGGGAGCTCTGGCCCGGATCAGGTTATTTGGCCGCCTCCCCTTCTCCTTGGAGCAAGGACAGGTTGAGCTAGAGTGATTTTAGTGCCCTAGATGACATTCCTGGGCATGGTGCAGCCCATCCAATACCAAACACAGTCAAGAGAGGGTTATGGGTATTGGCCATCAGGTGCCTCACTTGATACCCAAATGCATTTTTGCTCCCTGGCACAAGGTCAGTCTCCTGAACACTCTCAACGGAGGGGTGTTCTTGAGAAAAACCTAGCTAGATGTGCTTATGCTTGTAAGGATTCCTCCTACCCATCGTCACTTCTGGAGGGTCCTTTCTGTTCCCTTGGAACTCTTCATTAATACCACACCTACTGAATAACATCCTTGTCCCACTTCTCTACTCACCTGGGGGAAGATCCACCAACATGCACCCAAGGGGCCAGGTCCAATCAACTTGGGTCCTACCAGATGTTCCCATAAATAGACAGCATGGTCCGCACAGGGTCCAGTTCTACTCATGCAGGACTGTAGAAAACCAGTGTGACTCCATCTCATATCAACATCATCTTACGTCAGTGGCTAGAAATTGCCCTGCCCCTGAGAGGATAGCCAATTTCCCTATGGTTATTGCTCAACTCTGTTAGCCCGTACTCCTGGCCCCAAAAAGCATGCTCTTATCTTAGAATGAACATATGTGTCACATGATCCCTGGACATCTGGAATCACATCATTATGAATCCTCACTGCCTTCCTAACTGATGCGTGTTGCCACAACCTTCATGAACCTCAGTAGCCCTATGGATGAACAGCCAGGTCGTCTGGACCTGTCCATGGCCTTGATATGGAAGTTTACATCACTCTTGATGCCTCTGCAGGTGCCTGTTGTGGGCACCACCTTTGCCTGGTTGCCTGAGGCCTCCTGATCAGGCTGGACTCTGATTGACTAAGAGATATGCTAGGCCGATGACCATGGTCTCCTTCCTGCAAGTTACTGTCTGGTAGCGTGCTGGGCGTTTCTGAAAACCAGGAGTGCTACAGAGGTAGCTAAGGAAGCATTCAGTCCACTTGAGGAGCAGCCATTGCCTTCTGGTCATATAATGGATTAGTATTGCGTCGTGTAACAACACACTGATAAAGACATGGGAGTCATGGATCAGGCTGCAGAGGCTGAATGCTGTTGAGAGTAAGATCCTGGCCATTTTTATTGATAGAATAATCAGAGAGCATTAGCTACGTGCATTAGTAGGACAAGGAGAAAAGGATGGGTGAAACTCAGGAATGTCATCTAGGGCTTGGGGGACATGAGTCTGCTGACCATGTTATGAGATTGATTACCAAGTGCTGGAATCAAAAGTAGACCCAAGACCCCAGACCCCTGGCCATGGCCCTAATCTTATCAACAAGGCATTCCACTGATGAGCTTCTGGGGTCCCTTGTCATACATTGGTCCTCGGCCCCTCGCCGCCCCCCCCCCCCCCGTGTTCCTGGTCATACCTCATGATGTATGTGTCAGGAATAAGTTTATGCATCCGTCCTCAAAACCCCCCCAACCCCCCCCCCCACCGAAACTCCTGGTCATAAGTCTTGATGCATGCCCTTCCCACATTGATCAAGCTTTCTGATCTTTTTTTTATTTTTATTTTATTTTATTTTTTAGAGGCATGTTTTATTTATTTGTTTGTTTGTTTGTTTATACAAGCACTGGGTACAGTCAGAAGCACGGGAGGGTGAGAGAATTCACCAGAGCCAGAGCGGGGAGCAGAGGAGGCAGAAGGACCAAAGCACACTGCTGAGGGGAGCAGCGGGTGGCAGGAGAGGTCTGCGCGCCACGTGGGACCCTCCTCCGGTGGCCGGGGAGCAGCCGGGGATTGAACCGGCGCCTCAGAGGCCGCGGGCAGCTTCGCAACCCAGCGCTCAACTGCTGCGCCACTGGGGAGGCCCAAGCTTTCTGATCTTGATTGATATGAAAGGCAGGCACCTTGCAAGGTTTGGCTCATATGACTGTGACAGGACAGCTCTGACCTTTGTATAGGAATGCAGAACTGCAGGTATCCATAATGGTGGCTGAGTAGGCCACTTAAGTCTAGCAGCCAATTAAGTCTAGCAGGTGGGCAGATTAGAATCTATTTGCTGGAGCCCTACAAGTGGGAATAATCACCCAAATCGGTAAAGAATCTGAGCAGCCATATATGAGACAGGTTAGGCTAGGTTGCCATTTTTTTCCTCAGCAAAGGGTGGAGGGAGAGAAAGTGGGGGTAGATAGTTTGGCGTTTCTGGTGCAATACTGCCATCAAGCGGAAAGCATTTCTTGGTCTCATGAGCCCTACGTTGTTTCTGGTGGGGAAGCAATATGGCGGTGAAAGCAGAATCAGGAGTAAGAGAAAAAAATCTTCCTTCTGCCACCCTCCTCAGCCCACTTCTCGCGTTCCACCAGGCGGAGGGAAAAGCATAGCCAAGACTGGGTCAAGAACCGTAAATTCCAGAGACAGAACCAAGTACAAGGCCCACACTCTAGCACAGGAAGGCAGGCTTGGAACTCTGGTGACCGCCATTTCTGGGCTTGAGTAGGGGCAGCCTGTGACAGGGAGCTCTGGCCGGGAAGAGGTTATTTGGCCGCCTTCCCCTTCTCCTTGGAGCAAGGACAGGTTGAGGTAGGGTGATTCTAGTGCTCTAGAAGACATTCCTGGGCATGGTGCAGCCCAGCCAATACCAAACACAGGCATGAGAGGGTTATGGGTATTGGCAGTCAGGTGTGTAGGGAGAGACAGTGGCGGTAGGGTAGTTTGGCGTTTCAGGTGCAATACTGCCATCAAGTGGAATGCGTTTCTAGGTCTCCTGAGCCCTATGTTGTTTCTGGTGGGGAAGCAATATGGCGGTGAAAGCAGAATCGGGAGCAAGACAAAAAAATCTTCCTTCTGCCACCCTCCTGAGCCCACAACTCCAGTTCCACCAGGCGCAGGGAAAGCATAGCCAAGCCTGGGTCAGGCCCTGCAACTCCCGAGACAGAACCATGTACAAGGCCCAGAGTTTTGTTGCTTTGCTTGTCTGGCACAGGAAGTGAAGGCTTGGACTCCGGTGGCCGCCATTTCTTGGCTTGACTAGGGGCAGCCTATGAGAGAGAGCTCTGGCCGGGAACTGGTTATTTGGCCGCCTTCCCCTTCTTCTTGGAGCAAGAACAGGTTGAGCTAGGGTGATTCTAGAACCTAGAAGACATTCCTGGGCATGGTGCAGCCCAGCCAATACCAAACACAGACATGAGAGTGTTTGGCAGTCAGGTGCCTCACTTGATACCCAAAAGGTTGCTGCCTGGCACAAGGTCAGTCTCCTGAACACTCTCAGTGGATGGCCATCCAAGAGCACAACCTAGCTAGATGTGCTTATGCTTGTAAGGATTCCTCCCAGCCATCATCTTCTGGAGGGTCCTTTCTGTTTCCTTGGAACTCTTCATTAATACCATACCTACTGAGGGCCTCCCCGGTGGTGCAGCGGTTGAGCGCTGGGTTGCGAGGCTGCCCGCAGCCTCTACAGCGCCGGTTCGATCCCCGGCTGTTCCCCGGCCACCGGAGGAGGGTCCCACATGGCGCGCAGACCTCTCCTGCCGCCCGCTGCTCCCCTCAGCGGTGTACTTCGGTCCTTCTGCCTGCTCTGCTCCCCGCTCTGGCTCTTGTGAATTCTCTCACCCTCCCGTGCTTCTGACTGTACCCAGTGCTTGTATAAACAAAACAAAACGAACAAGCAAATTAATAAATAAATAATACATGCCTCTTTAAAAAAAAACATACCTAGTGAATAACATCCTTGTCCCACTTCTCTACTCACTTGGGGAAAGATCCAACAACATGCACCTAAGGGGCCAGGTCCACTCAGATTGGGTCCTACCAAATGTTCCCATAAATAGACAGCATGGTCCGCACAGGGTCCAATTCTACTAATGCAGGCCTGTAGAAAACCAGTGTGACTCCATCTTGTGTCAACATCATCTTACGTCAGTGGCTAGAAATTGCCCTGCCCCTGAGAGGATAGCCAATTTCCCTATTGTTATTGCTCAACTCTGTTAGCCCGTACTCCTGGCCCCAAACAGCATGCTCTTATCTTAGAATGAACATTGTGTCACATGATCCTTGGACATCTGGAATCACATCATTATGTATCCTCACTGCTTTCCTAACTGATGCGTGTTGCCACAATCTTCATGAACCTCAGTAGCCCCGTGGATGAACAGCCAGGTCGTCTGGACCAGGCCATGGCCCTGACATGGAAGTTTACCTCACTCTTGATGCCTCTGCAGGTGTTGTGGCCACCACCTTTGTCTGGTTGTCTGAGGCCTCCTGATCAGGCTGGACTCTGATTGACTAAGAGATATGCTAGGCTGGTGACTATGGTCTCCTTCCTGCAAGTTACTGTCTGGTAGCATGCTGGGCCTTCCTGAAAACCAGGAGTGCTACAGAGGTAGCTAAGGGCACATTCAGTCCACTTGAGGAACAGCCATTGCCTTTTGGTCAGGTAATGGATTAGAATATTTTTCCTGGAACCCTAGAAGTGGGAATAATCCCACAAATTGGTAAAGATCTGTAACAGCCATATTTGAGAAAGGTTGGACTGGGTTGCCATTTTTTTCCTCAGCAAAGGGTGGAGGGAGAGAAAGTGGCTATAGGGTAGTTTGGCGTTTCTGGTGCAATACTGCCATCCAGCGGAATGCGTTTCTAGCTCTCTTGAGCACTAAGTTGTTTCTGGTGGGGAAGCAATATGGCGGTGAAAGCAGAATTGGGATCAGGAGAAAAATAATCTTCCCCTGCCACCTTCCTCAGTCCACATCTCGAGTTCCACCAGGCGTAGGGAAATCATAGCCAAAACTCGGTCAGGCCTTGCAACTCCGAGACAGAACCGAGTACAAGGCCCACAGTTTAGGTGCTTTGCTTGTCTGTCACAGGAAGCCAAGGCTTGGAACTCTAGTGGCCGCCATTTCTGGGCTTGAGCAGGGGCAGCCTCTGAGTGGGAGCTCTGGCCGGGAACTGGTTATTTGGCCGCCTTCCCCTTCTTGGTGCAAGGACAGGTTGAGCCTGGGTGATTCTAGAACCTAGAAGACATTCCTGGTCATTGTGCAGCCCAGCCAATACCAAACACAGGCATGAGAAGGCTTTGGCTATTGGTGTCAGTGGCAGAGGCAGGGCCTGAGTTATTATTCAGTCTGTCCAGTTCTGGGGATCAGATGTGGACCCTAGAATCAAGTGGCCTGGGGCAGTTGCTGGGGCCTGAGTTTTGGAAGAACTGTGAAACATGGGATATGGTTTACTTTCCAGGGAATCCAAATGGGTGTGGTCCTCACCTTTACCTTATGAGCTACTAGAAAAACAGTAAGGCAGCTTCTTCAATCCTACCCCCCATACAGGTATACCTCCCAATATCTGTGAGAGTTTTAGGACACTAAAAAGGAATGATTCTTGCATCTGCATGACAATAGTCAACCTGCACAAAAATATTTGGGGTGGGTGTTGCCTTCCCTTTACCTTTACTTTTTTTAAGGATTTATTTATTTATGTGTACAAGAACTGGGTACAGGCCAGAGGTGTGTGTGGGGTGAGAGTGTTACGGAGCAGCCCCAATATAAAATGGGTTGCCTGGCTGTGGGTCCTCACCCGCGCGTTTAAAAGGGACTTATTAATACTGCACTGCAGGCACACGCAAAAGGTTAATAAAAGGTTTATTTACAAGGGAAAGGGAATTGAGGAAATGTACAACTCAGGGAGAAAATAGGGAAATAAAGTCTTTAATGCGTCCTACCCAATCTGCCGACCTGGAAACCCAATGGCACTCAGAGCTGGCCGGACGCTGTGAGCTGGCGGAGAGCCAAAAAGGGAAAAATCCCCCAAAGCCCACGTGTCTGGTTTTATATCAAACCTGGCTGCTTAATCCCACCCTCAGGTTCCAGCCACCTTCCCTTTGCTGGTGATGGGATTTATCTCTCCCAGTGTCTTTTGGCTTTGGTCTGGAGTGGGGGTGGAGTCCACAAAGCCTGTATGGAATTAGCTTTAGGACATCCTTTTCCCCCTAACAAGAGGATTCTTCCGAGACAGAGTGGGGAACAGAACAGGCAGATTGACCGAAGTACACTGCTGAGGGGAGCAGGGTCAAGTCAGGAGAGGTCTGCTGTGCCATGTGGGTGGCTCCTTGGCTGATGGCTTCTGGCCTGCTTGCAGAGGCTGCGGAGAGCTTCATAGGTTGCGTCTTAACCCCTTGCGCCACCAGCGAGGCCCTTCCCTTTCCCTTTAACATACACCCCAGTCTGAGGTGCCCATGGACAGTGCTCCCTGCTCAGCTGCTCACCTACCTTTATCTGAGTCCATGAACCCTGAGAATCTGCAGGTATCTCAGAAATTAGCGTCTCATTCCTATCTTTTATTTTAATTGGAAGGGTGCTGTGATGGTAGATCATTGTCCTTCTCACAGTGTCAGTTTCCCCAAAGCTCTTATGGGGTAAAGGGTTTGGAAGCCTATCTGCTTTGCCAGGCCTCCGGGCATCGTGTTGTCCTTGGAACACCATGGTTCCCTCACCAAGAACAAGTGCCTGGTGGTCTCCCCAAAGGCCGAACCCTTAGAACTGTAGACATCCCTGCTTGAAGTCCAAATAAGACTTATTTTCCCTAATAAGAAAAATTGGGTCCTAAGGCCCCAGGGTCCATGCATGTGATACTGTGAGCTTGTTCCATGGCCACATCAAGGAAGATTGGGCAGTTGTCTTCAAACTAGGCCATTCCTCAGGTGGCTCTTCTTTCCTGTGGGGTGTTCCATTTCACCCGCTTGTCCCTTGACATCATGTAGGCTTCTGGCTTATTGTCAGAATGGAATAAATAAGGATGGTGGCAAAGGGAAAATGGAGACTGGCCTTCGGCTTGACTTGGAAGGGAAACTTTCTAAAGCTGCTTAGAAGCTTTAGAAGGGAAGTCAGAGTGTCTGGAATGACTTACACTGGAGCTGAAGCCAGGGCATAAGGGTTGAAGAGCACCAGACCCACCCTGGTCGTGCAAACCCGACACACCTTTGAGGAGCTTCACTCCCAGCAGAGGTGCTGCTAAGTCAAGCAACTGGAACTGAGATCTGTCCAAAATGCCACCCTTCTTTCTGCATTCCATGCCAAAAATTACCCACCTCACTCTTTCCTCCTTCCCAGTAGCCCCTGCAAATCCAGAAATTCAGTTTACAGCATGCTGGGAGTTGTAGTGCTGGGCGCCTGAGTTGTCAGCAGTGTGGAGAATGGGGGTGGGTAAGATCGCATCTGTTCCTCTGGCCTCAGTTGAGTGCTTCTCTTCACTCCACCATGACCCAGAGATTTCTCTTACAGGCACAGGTCAAAGATGATGTAGGGACGAGACTTTGTCACTTTGGCTTTCCTACAAGCATGCACTCCTAGAATTAGGCCATGTCAACTCTGGACCTTGTAGGGCTTGGACAAGCTGTCTATATATTGAAACAATTGGTCATACCCAATCTTGAAGTTCAGAAGACCTGGCCCTTTGGGTACATGTTCCTGGACCTCCCCCATCACTTGGGAGTTGACTCTCCTAAATAATCACAGAAGTGTGTGTCCAGGGGGGGTGTTATTCAGCTAGGTTAGGTATAAATAAAGATGGTCAAGGGACCACTGACAGGACATTCCAGAAGTAGTCATGGTTGGGCAAAGTCCTTAAAAGCATAAGAACACTGCCAGCCTTCCCTTCATAGTTAAGAGGTTGACTCTGGTCCTGGCATGAGGTTACTTTTAGGTATTGTGGACAGTAAGTCACTGCCTTACCTACTTACTCCTTTAGGCAGCCTTCCATGCCTGAGCCCCAGGAACCCATGGGTGAAAAGCCAAAGCTTTTTGCCTACCATGGGAGGTGCACCTCACTTACCTTCTGCTGGTGATCCTCGACCACTACCACTTTTGTGTCCAACTGTTTGATGTCATGCCAGTCTCTCAGTGACTGAGAATGTGTCAGGCCAGTGAGAATGTGCCCTGCCATGCCTTGGCTTTTGTGGATCAGACTGCCCCAACTCAGTGTGGCTCCTAGGGTACCCTGCAAACTAGGGTTGGTAAAGATAAGAGTTAAGGACAGGTTCAGATCCTTGGAGGGGCTGTGAGAAGCAGCCATGGCCTTTTGTTCATGAAGACAGGCTGAAAGGAGTAAATTCTGCTCCTTGGAGTCTGAGAATTGGGAATGATCCCCCAAATTGGCAAAAATGATGAGCATCCATATTTGATACCGGTTGGACAGGGATTGGTGTTTTTTTCCTCAGCAAAGGGTGGAGGGAGAGAACGTGGGGCAGGGCCAGTTGGCTTTTGTGGAGTAATAGTGCCATCAAGCGGAATGTGTTCACAGATTCCATTTGCTCCGCACTTTCCCTTTCTGTGGAGATACAAAATGGTGGTAAAGTCAGAGTCATAGACTGGATGAAGGATTGCTCTTAACCCCCACCACCTTTGCCTACCAAGGTCTAGAGCTTTGTAGTGCTCTGGAAAGTTTTGAAAAACGGGTCTGACCTTGGCAGCTCCCGTGACGGGCATGGATACAAGGTGCACGGCCCAGCTACCTGGTGGGTTGCAAACAGGAAGCCCACCTTGCTGTGTAGTGGCTGCCATGTCTGGACTGTGCCAGCTGAAATCACTGGCCCTGGCCAGAGTTTGTGGGAATTTGATAACATGTCCATTCCCCTAAGAGTAAGAATAGGTTTGATCTGGGTGGGTCAGGGCCCTGGGTCAATCTCTTTGACAATGTGGAACTCCCACCCTTTGACCAGCACTGCTGGCACAAGATGGCTGGAGACATTGGTGGCAGTGATGGATACAGGATCTGAATCATCCCGTCCATCTCTGGAGATCAGAGCAGTGACAACCCCATGTTTTATCATGTTCCGGATCTCTAGAGTGCTATTTTCTACCCTTCCCCCTCCCCTGCAGAATGTCTCTGGTTGGTAGTTGTCTGTATTGTTTTGTTGTGTTTTTTATTGTTATCGTTTTTTCCCTGTTGCCTTATTTGGTCCCCCTATATTCCTCCTATAAGTGAAACCATCTGCTCTTTTTCTTTTTCCTTCTGACTTATTTCACTGAGTGATATGAGTATATTATTCCCTTGGCTCTTAAAGGGGAGGGTAAGGAACCTCTTGGCAAAGTTCTGGAGACTGGCGGGTGAATGCTGCCAGAGATGTGGGTGGTGAGAGGATTCACCAGAGACAGAGCAGGGAGCAGAACAGGTGGATGGACTGAAATATACTGCTGAGGGGAGCAGCATGCAAGACAGGAGAGGTCTGCTGTTCCATGTGGGTAGCTCCCTGGCAGGGGATTGAACTCATGCTGCAGTGGCTGCGGATAGCTTCACAGTGCTGTGCTTAACCCCTTGTGCCACCAGGGAGGCCCCCTTCACCTCACTCTTGACCCCTTTGTAAGTACCTTTGAACCACCACCACTGCCACCT